AAGTGGTCCTTGTTTTATATTATTGTTTCCAAAATTTCTATTTCGTTTTTCTCTTCAAACTTCTTATTTTTCTCAAGTGTCAAATTTTGTGTCATCCGGTGCCTTTGTTAGGCCTAACAAATGTCTTACTTTAATTTTTGGATTTGGGCTTGAAATTTTTTGGACATGTGTTTCCAAAAATTAAAGCAAGATATTTGTCTTTAGTTTCTATTGAGTAAATAATTTTCACCTAAACTATAATATTAAGGATGTGTTTGTTTGCCATCACTAACTTTCACTGGACTAGATTACATATTAGTGTAAGCACATGTTTCTTACAGGCATGATTAAGTTTAATGGGATAAAGGAGAACTCGCCTCGACTAAATTTCTCACTATGAGGTCTTAGTGAGACCTCCAAAAAGGCATTGAAATTGCTAAGCCCATTTGCTTTGCTTCACCTTGAACTCATCCAATCTGCTTCACACCGTCTTCATGGCCGTCCAACAAGTAGACGACAGACCTTCATCACTGTTGAAACCTATATCCCCAAAAGACGGGATCTTTGTGAACCCAATGGTGGGTGAGGAACACGACGAGGAGAAGCATGAGGAGACTTATGAGCCACTCGGTGTGCTTGAAGGAACACGAGAGGCAAGAATGTTGGTGATTTCCCATCACTATCATTCCCTTGTCCATGGAACCACCAAAGGAGCGTCACTTTGTACTGTAAAAAACACTACAATCAAATCAGAAACAATGCTATGAATAAGAAAATTAAGCCGAAAAAATCAGATGGGAAATGATTCCGATGATCTCAAGAAGAATCGTTGATTCAAAGAGGTGAAATAACCAAAATTTAAATCTTTTATTTTCTTCCGAAAATATTCAAAAATTTCTTCAAATCAACGAAATTGAGGATTTTGGATTATGCGTTTTAAGATTTGGCAAAAAGTGGGAGAAAAAATATAAGGGAGGGAGAGAATGGGATAGAGAAAAAGATGTGTTTCGAGAGAGAGAGTGTGTGTGTGTGTGAAGAGTTTTATTTTTATTTTTAATTAATAAAACATTAACATATGGATTAAATAATATAATATTATAGTTTGTTAACTATTCAACTACCTAGTCTCATACTGCATCAAACGTTTCACTAAATCAATCCAGCTTAGTCTACTGTAAGTCAGTCAAACTTAATCCATACAACTTAGTTCAGTCTGAAATAATCCAGTGCAACAAACGCACCCTAAGTGCATTCATATGATGAACTTCAAAAGGAAAACTGAATTCCTACAAACCCAAGATGACTATTGTAACATAGTTTGGTCTCATTTTATATGGGTATGGAAAAACATGTAAAAAGAAAGACTTGTCTTTGTATAACAAGGCACCTCACCTTCTCATTTGAGGGAAAACTCGTCTTCCCACCTCTTCCTTGTTCATTTCCTAGGTGTAAAAGTCAAATTAGGGTAGAGATCCATGTAGATGAGGGCATCCTCAAACAACATCCTCAAACAATAAAGTTACAAATTAAAAAGCTTAAGAATTATTAAACAAAACACATGTATTAATCTACAAGGTTTTTTTATACAACATTATTACAATATCCATCTGTGTTTTTATGTTTTGAAAGTGTTACATGACAACGTCATTACCAATACTATCAAATATCTCTATTGTTATAAATATAACCATGTTATCATTCATTCATTGATTTACAATTTTACAATTGATCTTCATAAATTTTATGGTCAAAAATGCTCTTTCAACAATATAAGTAGCACATGAAGAGTTAACGTTAATATCACAAACAACTGAAAGAGTTTTTTTATTTTTATCCCAAAAAAATGAGCGGGGGCATCTGCCCCTCTCAGCCTAAGATGGCTCGGGTGGAATTGGACGGAAATGAGGAACATTGGGATTGAGAACAAAAAGCAGAGCATAAGGCCTAAACCAAACATGATTTTCGTGCTACGTGATTCACATGACGATCATGTGAATACTTTTTGAGGCAATTTAGATGATTTTGGTTTAAGCCGAGAGATATGGTGTAAATTGCTTTTTTTTTTTTTTTTTTTTTCCTTTTCAAACAAAAAATAGTTAAGAAGGAAATAATAGCTTTGTATAAATAAGATATTTCTAACACCTAGCTTAGTCTAATTGTATATTAGTAAAGGTAAGACGTTTCAGTTTCTAATATCCTTTTTATATTGTATTTTTTCTTTCACGTTTCATTCAAATGTTTTTGTTATTAGTAAGGTTTTAAAAGACGCTAGGCGGTAATGGGGGGACGAACTGGGATCTAGCACCTAGTCGGCTATGTGGGGCTTATGTGGACTAGACGGATTTAAGTAAACTTATTATGTACCATATAAATAAGTGCTTGTTTATACTTAAAGAATACAAAATAGTATTGAGATATATAAATTAAAAAAATAGAATAACAATAGATTACAAAGTTTTAAAACATAATGAAAATATGAGGAACCAGATTATAATGAGTGTTCTTTCAAGTATTCAACAAGTTTCTGACAATTTATTAAAGAAATGCAAGATGAAAGTTATATTTTTCGTGACCTAAGCGGATACCTATGCATGCGACTAAGTAGATCTAGGCTTTATTCTTAATTTTCAAATGCCTAGAATTAATTGAGGCGGAGCCTCGGAGGTACTAGACGGAAATTTTAGAACAGTAGTTATAAGAATCTGTTTAATCTTCGCAACGTCTACATACTATTAGTGCTATGACTGAGACCTAACGTTGTAACCGGACCCCTTATATTAACCGTAAATATGATAAAAAGATAGAAAAGCTTATCTCATCTCATGTCTCAGCATTTTGGAGGCCTTGCCTTGCATGCAGATAATTGGATATGAAGATCGAGACCTAATTGGATTCGTGATGACACCTAAGCCATGGCCAGTGACCACCACTCTTTCTTTACCCACACCAATGCTTTTTCCTTTTTTCTTCTCATTACTCTTCAACCCAAGTATATGCCATTCTTCTTCAACTCAATCACAGAAAGGCCACTTCTTTTCCTTGTATATATAACAATCTTTGGAATTTTTTAATCATATAAAAAACTTCGGAATTGAACATTTGATGTATTTTAAGGGTTCTTGTGACCCTTCAAAGCACGTTTAGAATCTTAAGGCAATTTTTTTCGTGGTTTTTAATTGTTCTGCTAACAATCTATATATAGTCATTTAGTACTACGACCTAATGATATTCTTTTTCATTTATAAGTGAGAAGTTTTAGATTCGATTCTCGCCAAATACGAGTTTGCATTACATTATTGTTAGCTCATTGTGAAGTTAAATCCACTCTATCCTATAGATAATATCGTTTGTTAAAAAAAAAAAAATCTACATATGAAAATTGTTTATGTGTTGTGTGAGCAACCCAAATAGTCTAGGATAAGCATATTAAAAATGGTAATCGAACACGAATTATATCATCAATGATTGTTTCATAATTGTAACACTATGCTAGTGGGGTATCATAATTGTAATACGAATTATAATTTTTAACCAAAACAGTAGTGAATATGAATTGCAGCTGATTGATTTAATAATTTTCTCATACCATCTCCAAATGAGATGCTGTAGAGATGCTCTCATTTGTGTGATTGCTTTAATAATTCACAGATTATATTCGCACACTAAATTCTTTCTCCACACCCTTTTAATTTTTTAATATTTTTCTATCAAGTGGTGTGTAGAATATCAAAAATATTAAAAAAATAAAAAGGTGTAGGGAAAGTAATTTGGGGAGGGGGGGGTGTGTGAACATAATCTCTCTTAATAATTTTGGTAGACTCTACAACATGTTCTTGCTACATTAAAACTTGATGCATCCGACGATACTTCTTCGTTGCGGCATGTGGTGAACAACGCTCGCCATATGCATGCAATTCTCCACACAAAACTCACTTATACTCGAAAGAAGGCAAACAAGGTTGCAACTGGCAAGAATGGGATTGTCTTTAGAAGAACAAGTGATTTATTGGGGTGCATTCAATTGGAATTTCGAGGGATTTTAATTATTTTAGTAAATCTAGGAGTATTCAATCAAGATTTTAAGTGACTATCTGAAATTTAAAGTGTAATCAATTAAGATTTTGAGATATTTTATTAAAATCCTTAAAAATCTGGATGTGTTCAATTAGAATTTTAAAGAAGTTTAAAACATTTTACTTGTATTCAATTAGAAACTGATTTTAAAGAATTTGAAAAGGTTGAGGAATTCGAGAGAATTGAAGAGATTTCGTAGTGTATTTTAAGCATCCACAAATCTTATCTATTTTTATGAAATTTCGAGGGAATGAATAAAAAATTTACATGAAATCTCGACAAACCAATTTAAATTCCATAAAAATCTCTTAAATTTTCAATTGAATAAAGCGCCCTTAGTTTGAGGAACCCTTTATGTAATCATGGATCTCATTTTTTAAGATACTATAACTTTGTGACTTGTTGGTGTGGGAAATTTTTTTTTTTTCTCTTCGACTGGGTTGAAATTCTCAGTAAAATTGTTATTGAAACCCATTTAAATGGACCTTATCCTCTAATGTGCATGTGTTCTTTTCTTCGTATCAATGCTTATCATACTTGTTAAAGAAAAATACATGAATTAGTTACAAACACATCAATATTTCTTTCATACAATAAACCTAATATAGAATACTCAATAAATAATAAACCTAATATAAAAGATTCAATGGATCTAATATAAACATTTACGAAGAGATGAAGCGATATTGAGGAGTGAGACAAATTTCCTTTTACTGTAGTTTTTTTTTTTTTTTTTTTTTCATGGCCAAAATTGTGAACTTGTTCAAAGTGCTCATTGACCATCCCAGACCCAGACAAAAAACCAGTCAAACCAGCAAACCTCCTATTCACTCTCCCACAGTGCCAAAATCGTAAATAACAACCAAATGCTGGGCATTACTAATAGAAATTTTAGCAACATTTTTAGATTATGTTATATAAGGGCCCCATCTTTGTCCCATCCATCACCTGCACACTGTTGTTTTCCTATCTTTCCTTCTCTGTCCTTAGTTAGCTTCCATCACTCTCACTCTCAGAGATTGCACTGAGGAAGAACAGGCACTCACTCTTTTAGATCTGAAAAACCCACAAACGCCAGAAATCCCTTACCTTTAAGGACGACCTAGTAAGCATTTTCTCTGCTACTCTCTCTCAGCTTTTCTGTGTGTTTTCTTGGGTTTTTAGGTGTTTGTTCAAGTTCTTGAGGGATCTGATGTGTTTGGGTTCTTGATTGAATGTGGGGGTTAATGGGTTTTTGGTGGGTAATGCATTTTTTCTGGGGGTAATTTCTTGGTGGGTTTTGTGTTTACTGTAGTGAATTTTGGGTGATTTTGTTAGTGGGGTTTGTATTTGGGATTGGGCTTGATGAGTTTTGTTCTTGATGATTGGTTGCTGGTTATGAACTTGGAATCTTGGATTTAGTGATTTGATTTGGTTAATTAAGTGGTATTTAGTGTAATGTACTACCAAGATTAGTGCTTTGTTTTTGGTGATGAGAAAATGGGAGGAAAAGAAGTTTCCTGTCTTGATTATTGTATTCTTTGTTGAGGTTTTTAAGATTTGGAATCTTTAGTTTTCTTTCTTGACACTCCAAATTCAAAGGAAGAAAACTAATGATATGGTTCAATTGTTTATGGTTCTTTGACTTGGTACTTGGATTGTAGTTTTGTTTAGTCCGTAACATGATGTGAGTAGTGTGATCTGTGTTTGGAACTTCAATTTTTACCAAAATTTAGTTCTTCTGGGTTCAAGGTATTCGTCGTTGATAGATGTGATTTCCAGAACCCAGAAGAAATATAGAGGGTTATCTTTGTACTAATGTTTAGAGAATCTGTGTTTTGATTTTTAATACTTAACTGATGGTTGGGCTTGAACATGGCTACTCAGTATTGCCTTCGTCTTCTGAGGTTCTTTCATGCTTGTGATCTTTTTTATGCTAGAGTCCTTTTGCAGATTAGCTAGCATCTTATATGACTGAAGCCAAAGTATATGTGCATTATTTGTCTGGTCAAGTTCTCACTTGCTGTTTTCAAAAAAGCATAGAATGCCTTTTGAAATTTTCGATGATGCAGTTTAGGTTTTAGTCTAAGCAAAAATGGCTGTCGCGGATGCTCAAAATCCTCGTGTTGGAGAAACCACTTGTGGTTCTTTGCTGCAGAAACTGCAGGTAATTTATATTTTTACGTTTGGTTGTTTGTCTTTTTCTTCCCCACCGCTTCTTTGTATGTACTTTGAAGGTTAGCTGTTGAACGAATCCATGATTTTATTTAGGAAATTTGGAATGAAGTTGGCGAGAGTGATGAAGAACGAGACAAAATGCTTCTTCAGTTAGAGCAAGAGTGCCTTGATGTATACAAGAGGAAGGTCGAGCTGGCAGCTAAGTCAAGGGCACAGCTTCTTCAGGCATTGTCTGATTCCAGACTTGAACTTTCCAGTCTTCTATCAGCTCTTGGAGAAAAAAGTTTTACCGGAGTTGTGAGTACTTGCATACATCTTCCTCATATGTGCTGATGATTTGTTATTGCTACATTAAAGCATGTTAATAGTACTATCAAAGTATATGGTAAGTAATAGTGAACTGTTAATTTGATTACAGCCTGAGAAGACTTCAGGGACAATCAAGGAACAGCTTGGGGCTATAGCGCCACTACTGGAACAGCTGTGGGAACAGAAAGAGGAGAGAGTGAAGGAGTTTACTGATGTTCAGTCTCAAATTCAGAAGATTTGTGGAGAAATTGCTGGGAACTCGAATCTCAGCGACAGTCCTGCGGTTGATGAGTCTGATCTATCCCTGAAGAAATTAGATGAATTTCAATCCCAACTTCATGATCTTCAAAAGGAAAAGGTAAAAATATCTTGTCCTCGTGAACATGACATGTGCACTATCACAGTAGTCTACAGTTCATGTGGAATACAATGATAATGTTAATTGCTCATTTGATCTGGCAGAGTGAAAGATTGCACAAGGTGCTTGAATTCGTGAGCACAGTGCACGATCTTTGTGCTGTACTTGGACTGGACTTCTTGAGTACTGTTACAGAGGTTCATCCTAGCTTAAATGACTCAACTGGTGTGCGTACCAAAAGCATTAGCAATGATACTCTATCTAGGCTGGCAAGGACTGTCTTAGCACTAAAAGAAGATAAGGAACAGAGGCTGCATAAGGTATTCTTTTTCCCTTTTTTTCCATTTATTGTGCTTGTACAAACAATTATTGTGTTTACCAAAAAAAAAAACAATGATTGTTGGATCTTTGAATTAAAATTGACTTGTGTCTTTGCTCTGAAGCTTCAAGAGTCAGCAACTCAGCTCATTGATCTGTGGAATCTGATGGATACCCCTGACGAGGAAAGGAGATTATTTGAACATGTAACCTGTAACATATCAGCTTCAGTAGATGAAGTGACTGTTCCTGGGTCTCTTGCGCTGGATCTGATTGAACAGGTATATGAAGCATATTGATGTTCAATGGTTTGTTAAATAATGTATCATGGTTTACTCATTTCTTTGATTTTTTTTTTCAGACTGAGGTTGAAGTTGACCGGCTCGATCAGCTGAAGTCAAGCAGGATGAAAGAAATTGCGTTCAAGAAGCAAGCAGAGCTAGAGGAGATATTTGCTCGAGCTCATGTAGAAATAGATACAGAAGCTGCCAGAGAAAAGATTATGGAACTCATTGATTCGGGGAATGTCGAACCTACTGAATTACTGGCTGACATGGATGATCAGATAGCGAAAGCGATGGATGAAGCTCTAAGCAGAAAGGATATACTGGACAAGGTTGAGAAATGGATGTCAGCCTGTGAGGAAGAGAGTTGGCTTGAGGACTACAATCGCGTAAATAAACCCTCTCTCAAAATATATCTGCTTACGTGTGCATGTGTATTAGGGAGTGGGGATTTGAGGAATTCATATACCCTTCGCCTTTCTTGTCTGCTCCCCATCATCGGAGGTTGAACTACCTAGACCTTTCCCTTAATAAAGAGACTGATATTACCGTACTACTAGAGCTGGTGGAATCAGAGATTTTATACCTGTGATGCTTGTTCTTTGTAATTACAGTAGATGGTAGCCATGCTTGAATTAATTATTGCCACTTAATAGTTCCAAGAATGAAGCTACTTGGTAAAAAGGGCCTGGCCAGTGCCTGCGGAGAGTCCTAACATTTTAACCACCTACCAAACTATATTTAATCATACAGGAAAACGTGATCATTTCATGGTTGGACTTCGGTAAAAGGGGCCTTGGGGGGAGGTTGGGCGTATGTGTGTTCTTGGCTTGGAGTCTTGCCTTTTCAGGGTGGTTGGTGTAGTCATTTAATCATTAAACCACTAACTGGCTGAGGAGAATCTACTTCGCATTTATGCAGCCCACTTGAATTTTTCTGATTCTTTATACTTGAACCGTTTGAAGTGTTTCATTCTAACCAACATTTTGTTGCTCGAACAGGATGAAAACAGGTATAATGCGAGTAGAGGTGCGCACCTAAACCTCAAGCGTGCAGAGAAAGCACGAATTCTGGTTAACAAAATTCCAGGTATGTGTAGAATCAAGGGATAACACAATTATTATGACTGTATCTTACAGATGCAGGACTGACAAAAAGTGTGGCTCATAAGCATATGGAAGTTTTGTGTGGCCTGTAATATTGTTATTGATAAAAGAAAATTAAACAGTGCATTGTTGCCAATTAGCACCCCCTGATTACCCATTACCTCCAAATTCTTATTATTTCATTTTCTTGGCAACGCAGCTCTTGTAGACACGTTGGTAGCCAAAACACGTGGGTGGGAGGAAGAGCGTGGCATATCATTTACTTATGATGGTGTTCCTCTCCTTGCTATGCTGGATGAGTATGCCATGCTGAGGCAAGAAAGAGAAGAAGAGAAACGGAGGATGAGGGTACGTTTTACTTGAATAGATAATCAAATGCTCATTGATGATTATATGAGGTGATTACATTTTCACCGATCATTGTACGAGTTCTGATGTGCCTGAGTATGAAACCAGTTGCGTTTTATATGACCCAAATCCTAATCTGACATTACTGTAGCGTGTATGGTTTTGGTTATTACATAGCAGTCTGACTTTATTGTCATCATGTATCAAATGGGATTATGTCTGATGGATTTTGCAGGATCAGAAGAAGTACCAAGAGCTACAACATACAGAACAAGAAACCATATTTGGTTCAAAGCCTAGCCCTGCTCGACCAGTTGGCACAAAGAAGGTAGTAGGTCCTCGTGCAAATGGTGGCCCCAATGGAACTCCTAGCAGACGGCTTTCACTTAATGCTCATCAAAATGGAAGCAGGTCTGTAGTGAAAGATGGGAAGAGAGATCTTAGGCCCGTCGCTCCTATGAACTACGTTGAAATGGCAAAAGAGGATGCTGCCTCCCACATTTCTGGCACTGACACGGTTCCTGCTTCACCATAATTAATAAGGGAAAGTACTGTAGGTTACACAGCTCTGTCGAAGTTTAGCGTTTTTACTTGTTACTGTAGTAGGGATATAATGTATGAAACAGTGAGGGTAAATTGGAGAGTGAACTGTGACGTCTCTACCTGTGCATGTTATGTTTTGGCATTCGGAGCTTTCTAAATACGTGTTGCTTTCTTTGTTCTTCAAGTTTTGATCTATATTGTAGCAAGCAAGCATGATGGTGCCTGTGCCGGTAGCTATTCTGTGTTGGAAATAAAATCCTGCATCTGCATTCTCGCCAGTACTCTTTTATTGTTTTGCTTTGCATAACTGGTACACCATATCAAAAGTTTAATTTGAATTTCCTGTCTTGGTTGCAATGAACTTGGTAATCTATGCTGCTCATTCGTATACTGGCGAATTGATTTGAACACACATTTTCCCCAAACACCCCTTGTTATATATGTTTTTGATTGAATAAATTAAACTGACCCAATTGACATGACTAACCAAAGATATGTAGGGGGATAAATGTGTGTATCTTTTTCCAAACTATAATGATGGGTACGAAATTCCTTCCTAGATTTTCTTTCTTGAGATGCGAAGCATGCTGAGTTTAACGTTGCTTTAGCTTACACGTCCACTCGAGCTAAATACATGGATAACACAAATCATGTGGCGAAAATCACTTATGGTTACTAGGTTTCATACATGGACAAACCTTATATGATACTTTGAATAAAGTTCAAGATGTACCCCAAAAGAATAAGGCAAGAAGAGAAGTAGTGCATTTTATATAAGCTCATGCAAAATCACATTCTAAACAGAATTTTGGCGTACTTCATTGTTGAAGATTCAATGGACCCAGGAAGTAAACCTTATACAGGTTTTGTTATACTAATGTGGTTCAAATTGCCTTTAAACAAAATCGAACATAAAACCTCTCACTCACAAATGAAAACAAGAGTTTAAGAGAAAATCTTGTTCGGGCGACGGGCTAGGGCCTAGCGCCTAGGCATCTAAATGGATTTAAATAAATCTATTATATTTTGTGTAAATAAGTGTCTGTTTATACTTAAAATATATATAATTTCATCATAAACTAGAAAATAGAATGACATTTATATTATGAAGTATTGGAATATAATGAAAATATGAGAGCAAACATATAATATGTGTTTATTTAAGTGTTCAATAAGTCTCTTACAATTTATTGGAAACAATAAAATACAAAAGGAAAATTATCTATTTTCTATCTAAGTAAATTGCAACCTAGGCAGGTGTCTAGGCAAGTCTGGAAGGCGCCTCAGCAAGTCTAGGTGCCCTTTCTTAATTTTCAAACGCTTAAACATTAATCGGGATGGTGACCAGCCACTTAGCACCTAGACGGGGTCTAGGCGGTGCTTGGCATGAATTTTTAGAACAGTAGAAAAAACTCAATAAGAGAAACCCCGAACAAGGAAAAAGAGAACCCCATGACCACCAGTTAGATTCCACTAATTCTATATAATTTTACGGAAAGTCATCATAAATACAAGACTATATTGGCATAATGCTCATAACTAACTAATTAATATAATCCACATATGCGGAGATGCTTATTTTGCTCTTTAAGGGTTGGTTTCGGATTGTGGTGTTTAAAAAAAAAAACAACTTATTAAAAAAATTTGGAACATTAAATGTGTTTGGTAAAACAAAAAAAAGTGTTTTAAAAAAAAAAAAAACTGTTGTCAATGAAAGTAGAAAAACAGAGAAATGCAGAAGTAGGGTCTACTATGCTTATAAGAAAAGTGTTTTTTTTTTCTTTCAAAGCATAGTAATTAATGCTCATTTAATAAAATTTTTAAATGGCAAGTATACTCTCACATGTTTTATAATATAGATTTAACTTTGCTGCTGAAAGAATTAGCAGGCCCTCTTGCTGAGAGCCTATCACGGTGCGACATGTGTCCAAGTTGTGATGCAGGAGGGGCTGCTGATCTTGTTCTTATAATATTACAATATTTGCCCTTACATTATTGTCTTTGACAATTATTATATCATACTAAATATTAGATCATTTTTAATCATTTAACATATTCAAAGCAATTTATATAAAAGTTTACCAAACACTCATACACTGTTTTTTTTTAATTTATTAAAAGCACTTTTACAAAAAAAAGGTTTACCAAACACTTAACAACTTTATTTTAGAGCTGTTTATTTTCACAGCACAGCAAAAGCAATTTATTTTTAAAAAAGTATAGCAATACCAAACTACCCTAACTTTACCCGTCTAGTCTAGGAGATAATGTTGTTTGAACTCCCCCATCGAAGATTTAACAAACAAATGACAAATAATATACAAATGGTTTTAGGATAAAATGTCCAATTAATTATAATTAGATGCCTCATTTTAGATTTTTCTAAATTAAACATTTGTTACTTTTCAACTTTTGATTAAAGTGCTTTTACTTTTAATTAAACTTTATATTCCAGGTATATTATTAATTTAAGTATTTTATAAATTCTTTTAAATCCATTTCTATGTAAAAAAAATGCACTCAATAATATTCATTAATTTATTGCTATTTTTATGGAATCTCATCCCTTCCTCAATTTAAGGATTCAATTATATCTAGTGGGGTTCAAGATTAATTGGATGAAATATAGTTTTTCCAATTTCCAACTCAACATTTTATATAGATTATAAAAAAACAAGAGTTCGTTTATAATTAAAATTGAGATGTAGACTAGACTGCCTAATTTCATGCAATTGAAGATAAATTTGAATTTTTTAACAACTACTTATAGTAGAAACGTGAACTAAGAGTTTTCACATTTTTATTTTTATTTAAAATGAGTCCTTATTCCAATAATTAATTATTAAGAGTTGACAAAATATTTTTTAGTGCAATGTTTTAATGTGAAAAGTTATTTTTTTTAGGTTACACAACTTACACATAACATACCATAAGTTTTGTACGTACCAAAATAAGGATAATACAACATACTAATAACTTGTACGTGCTAAATAAAGAACTCCTCAATTACGTCGAATCCTTATGAAAATGAATCCAGAACGAAATCGCGCTAAAGCTAGGGCGTCACCCGTAAGTAGCGTGTTGTGTGGCTTGAGCACAGTGATAAGTGAGCAAGGGTCGTTGTATTTCCATCGGCACCCGGAAGTGTTAAATGAGCAAGGGGGCCATAGAAACTTCTTTTCGAACGACTCCACTCAAAGTTGTTTGGGAGCATATGCTTCTATCAACTTTACACAGGACACACAAAAGAAGTACTTTGATCCTATTGGACGGGGGATGGTGAAGAAGCTAGGACAGAAGGGTAAAGTTCAAGAGAGTAGAATGCGTTTAGGAATGTGGAATATAGGAACCTTAACGGGAAAATCTATGGAAGTAGTGGAAGTTATGGTGAGGAGAAGGATAAATATTATGTGCCTACAAGAAACTAAGTGGGTTGGTCTTAAGGCAAAGGATCTAGAAAACTCAGGGTTTAAACTTTGGTATTCAGGCACAAATAGAACGAGAAACGAACGTGGTGTCATGGACATCATCGTGGACAAGACCTTTTGACACAAGATGTTGTAGATGTCAAGAGGGTAGGAGATAGAATCATGGCAATCAAGATTGTAATAGGACAAGAACTCATCAATGTGATTAGTGCGTATGCACCTCAAGTAGGGTTGGATACGAGTTCGAAGGAGAAATTTTGGGAAGACCTTGGAGACTTGGTGCAAGGAATTGCCCAGACGGAGAAGTTATTTATAAGAGGAGATTTAAATGGACACGTGGGCAGGGAGACAGGCAACTATGGAGGTTTTCATGGTGGCCATGGTTTTGGGGAGAGAAACGAGGATGGGGAAGCTATCTTGGATTTTGCAATGGCATATGATCTCTTCTTAGCCAACACCTTCTTTAAGAAAAGAGAAGAACATGTGATCACCTATGAGAGTGGGTCGTCAAAAATACAAATAGATTTTCTTCTAATGAGGAAAGGGGATCGTATAACTTGTAAGGATTGCAAAGTTATACTGGGAGAGAGCTTGGCTAATCAACATCGCTTGTTGGTGATGAATGTACATATCAAAAGAGTGAGAAAAAAGAACAAGACTTGGAAGTGCCCAAGGACTAGATGGTGGAATCTAAAAGGAGAAAAACAAGCCATTTTCAAAGAGAAAGTAATCACCCAGTGTGTGTGGGATAGAGAGGGGGAAGCTAGCCAAAGGTGGGATTTCATGGCTAGTTGTATCCGAAAAGTAGCAAAAGAGGTATTAGGAGAGTCCAAGGGCTTTGCTCCATACCAAAAGGAATCTTGGTGGTGGAATGAGGAGGTACAAACAAAGGTGAAGGCTAAGAAGGAATGTTGTAAAGCCTTATACAAGGACAGGACCGATGAAAATGGTGAAAGGTATAGAAGAGCGAAGCAAGTGGTGAAGAAAGCTGTGAGAGAAGCTAAGTTAGCGGCTTATAACGATATGTATAGGCGACTAGATACCAAAGAAGGAGAATTGGATATCTATAAACTAGTTAGAGCAAGGGAAAAGAAGACAAGGGACCTAAACCAAGTGAGGTGCATCAAGGATGAGGATGGAAAGGTTCTTGCTACAGAGAACGCGGTCAAAGACAGATGGATATGTTATTTTTCATAATCTTTTCAATGAAGGACATGAAATGAGTACTTCTTTAGGGGAGTTGAGTAACTCAGAAAAGTGTAGAAACTACTGTTTTTAAACTTGTCTTTTATTCGAATTAGGAAGGAAGAAGTGGTTGGAGCTTTGAAGAAGATGAAGCATAGAAAAGCAGTGGGCCCAGACGATATACCGATCGAAGTGTGGAAAGTCTTGGGAGAGACAGGTATATCATGACTTACTGACCTTTTCAATAGGATTTTGAAAACGAAGAAGATGCCAAATGAGTGGCGAAAGAGCACTTTAGTGCCTATCTACAAGAATAAGGGCGACGTACAAAATTGCATGAACTATAGGGGTATTAAGCTACTGAGTCATACAATGAAGCTCTGGGAGAGAGTCATTGAGCATAGATTGAGGCAAGAGACACGAGTTTCGGACAACCAATTCGGGTTTATGCCAGGGCGCTCAACCATGGAGGCAATCTATCTCTTACGAAGATTGATGGAAAGATATAGAGATGGGAAAAAGGATTTACACATAGTCTATATAGATTTGGAAAAAACGTATGATAGGGTCCCAAGAGACATTTTTTGGAGGATTTTAGAGAAGAAAGGAGTACGAGTAGCATATATCTAAGCTATAAAGGATATGTATGAAGAAGCAAAGACTGC